AATATCTGCACCTGCGCGACCGTCTCCGAGATTTCCGCCTCCATACATGCGCGATGCATTGCTGCTCGAGAAAGCAAACACCTGCCTCGGCGATAGGCTCCTCCTCCGCGGGGCTCTCCTCCGCGACGAGGTCGACGATTGCCGTCCTTGCGCTGAGGTCATAGCAAGCCTGATTGAGCAATGCAGTATCCTCTTTGTGCTTTTGTCTTCTCTGGGCTTTCTTTTGCAGCCGGGCCTCACAGTGAATGGATACATGTGCTGCTAAGTGGGCCCCATCTACTCACTAGGCACAACAGTTGTTTTTTTGTATTTAGGCCATAACTTTTTGGAGAGGCTGCATTCGAGGACGAAGATGCATTGCTGGCAGCATCACTTTTGTCCTACCGAAGCATCGCAAACAAGCCATGTCTTTCATGACCTGCTGCTCACCTCTGAATCTCCAGCTTCTGTAGTGTCTTCTGCGATCTGGTATCAGCAGTCACAAAACACCCACGAGCAGGAGCCTGACGTCTAAGAGCCGTACGCTGAAACCCAACGCCTTCAGTACAGAAATTTGCTCGCCGTCTTCCAGCTCTTCTTCCTGGCTCATACGCTTAAGGACTGGAAACTGCCAAGGCACACAATCCCAAGCAATAGTTGGTTTGGAATGCGCCGGAGTGAGCCTTATCCAACAGGTTCACAACAAATTCTCGAGTTTCGGCGTGAGTGTCCTGTAGTCGCACTCTCCAACCGCCAGGCCACCCAAGCACATTGCCAATTTCTCATGCAGGCACTTTCGGCCGGCCTTCCAAGCATTCACGTGCTCCCACGCAGCTAGCACGCCCACACCTTGGCCGTCGCTCATGTTTGGGCGTTACTCTTGCTTCTCAGGCAAGAGCAGGAAGGAAAAAGCGCATTGCAGCCTCAGGCTTGCAATCCGCGGAAGATACGGAATTGAGTACCACTTGGCCCAAGTCTAACTACGACCCGAAACAGCACAGGCTGCTTCAACAACGTGGCAAGAGTGGCAACAGCAAGCACCTAGCAAAGCGATGACTCAATATCTTTACTCGGCTCACGCCGCTGCAGAGTAGCAGAGTAAGCCCTGAGCCGGGGCATTTGCTGAGCGGCTCAAGCTGCTTGCCCCTGCGCCATGCAGGCCAGAAGGACACAGCAAAGCATCTGGGTCTGTCCTCGACTGGATAGTCTCCAGCTTTTTTCTAAGGCGGCTGTCCACACCCATCAGCTCATGTCATGACACAACCCAGGTCTCATATGTATTCAACCTGTGCTTTGACTAAAGCAGTGCTTTAAGGCAAGATACTTGTTTGAATGCAGTGATTTATTTATTTTTGCCGCAGCAACTTGGGCGATTTCAGAAAGACTCTCTCTCTCTCTCTCTTTATGAGCGCATAGCTGCTAAGTGGCTTGAAACAATCGAGCGTACCGTACAGAACGCATTCGCATGTGCAGTATCCCATGAGTGCCTAGCAAATCTCACAAATGCGGGCGCAGCAAGACAATTTCCGCATACCGCACTGCATTAGCCTGGAATAGTGCTGTCGGCACATTCATGGGAAGTGAAACACGTGTAGACTTGGAGGGCACAATGATGCCGGTGGTCTCTCAAAGCTGTGAAACTGATATGCTGCACAAAATCATGGTCTGTTCGAACCTAGCTCTTCTTCTTGCTGTCCTTTGCAGCAGTTGCATATGATACATATGTGCGTGAACATTGTACTGTCCAGGCCTTTTTCTTCTTGACCTGCTTCTTGGCCTCCTCCCCGCCTAGGCAAGAAAGACGAAGAAAGCTGAACAACGTGCAGCAAAACGGGCAAAAGGAGCCTTCATCTTCAACTTCTGTGGAGCCCTCAGCTCACTGTAATCTTAGCATGTCAGTCTCTATGACTGGTTGGTTGATGACTCATTAAGACACCGGCCCCGGGCCCTGCTGTTTCTTGTGGTTCCTGAGTTTTGTACCTGCAACCAACCAGAAACAAATTGGATTGAAGCTAAGCACACGCCAACACCAACAGTGGTTGCGCCTTTTGAGGTACTGCGTGCACCTCATGCAAGCAACCTGAGTCCTTCTCTAGCCGTGCAGCTCGGACGAGCCCCCGGCAAGAGCATCGTGATATTCATGCCCATAAGTCCATGCATCTTCCACCTGGATGCTCCAATACACTCTGAGCAGTGATGCTGTGATGCATCAAAACACTATGACTTTCCTATGGCCGAACAACATCTACCAGCCATAGGAAAGAGTCGGGTCAGTACAACAACTTCAGCGCCCAGCCTGTCCCAAAAGCTTGGGGGCGGCGTGGGCCCAACCTGCATCAAAACCATCAGACTGGTGTCTGGAAAGCAGTATCTGTGGCTTCTCAAAGAGGGATGGGCTGAAGACACCTATCAAACTCTCCATTCAGAAGACAGAAAAACACACTTAAAGAGTTGGCTCTGGCCTCATAGACAATCTGGCCATTTTGTTCCTTGGGCGAAGAATGGCAGCTGTTCTCGACCCCTGCTGGGAAACTGGCTGTTTGAACATCGCCTTTGGCCAGCTTCACGCTGAAGTCCCGCCACTCCTTTGGGGAGCAGGAATAGGTCTGCGGTCTGCGCCATGCAATGTCAAGAATATGTGCAGCCTTGTCAAAATCTGGAACTGCAATGTCTACACCTTGATGGCAGCACACACTTCACTGATACTTTTCACTACAGATTAAAAAGCATGGCTGGCATTGCTTGTCACGTCAAGCAGCTTGCACACTCACATTGAGTTCGGGGCTGTCCATATCCTCCTCATCATCGGCTAACCTTGCAAGACGTCTGAGAAGCTCTGGCTTGGACCAAGCACCGTTTTCCCCGGGGCAATCAGTTCGTGAGCATTTCCATAGTGCATCATGATCTTCCTCAGTCGAAGGCTCATGACCACCTTCTTCGTGCTTCCGCAGCATCTGCCTGAAGGTCGTAAAACAACTGTTGAAACACTGACTCTCAAGCAGGAAATCGTTGCACACACACACACAAAGCCTCCTGTAGGTCATCTTAAGATCCTTGATGAAAGCATCCTTACAGGCATGCGCTTGCTGCTACCATGCCGCGCAACTCAAAGGCGCACACCTTTGTCAGTCGCACCGAGCCGTCAGGCGAGGACACCTGAAGACTGCCAGGGCAAGCGGGCTTGACTTGCTGGGGCAAGCCAAGTGCAAGCCTCCAAAACCTCCTCATCCCAAGTCTCCAAGACTCGTTGCACAAGCTGTGCCTGAATCGCTTGTATGAAATGTGTGGTGGCACCAGCCGTATCGGTGTGGTCACGGGCCTTCTCGCAACCGTCGCAATGCAGGCCTTTGCTTTGCAGCAATGCCTCAGGCACTTCGCGACGCCGTGTCAGTGTGAAAACTTGAGCGCCTTGAGTTCGTGAGATGGCCGCCGGCCAAGCTCCTGACTGGAATGTGCTTTGCATCATGTGTCACTGCCAGTCCAGTCGGCCTGTGCTGTGGGTGCTCGTCCAGCCCACAACTGCGCCAGCGGCTGCTCTCCTGGATGCTGGTGTTTTTGTTTCTTTCCTCTTGCGCTTGAGTGCTCAAAATGTCGCCATGCCTCCAACAAGGCACAGCATGGCCCACGCCAAAGTCAGCCTTGCAAAGCTGTGCAATACGTTCTACACTTCGTCCGACAATCCCCGACGCAGTTTTCAGGAGGACGTCTGTTTACAATGACGAGCCTCAAGACTCTGCATGACATCGGAGCTGACGTAGCCTGATGGGTCCGCATGCCAGGAATTCATTTGCAGTGCCCCAGTTGGCTACCAAATTCACTGTAACCCCACATCACGTTTGCAGCTGCATTTGCAGGACTCTGGGCGTCCCCACACTTTCTCTGGTAGTCAGGAGCCAAACTGTCAGGTGCCAAGAGCAAGTCAGGATGAAGCGTTGCACACTGCACTGACTTGCTTTTACTGTTGATTGATGTGTGTACTTGTGGGAAGGAAGCATGTAATATCTGTAATATGAGCTTTGCTAAAATCGTGAAGTGGAGTTTGGTTGCTATGTGACCCGCAATCTGCATTCTCAATGTGATGCTTGACATATGGGGCAGGATAAAAGCATGAACCACTGCAATCCGAAGGAGTCTCTGCAAAAGGGCATCGCCACATAGCCCATATCGACTTGTCTAAGACCGCGGCACATGTCACCCACTGCAGCTTTGGCCTGTGTGTATCCCTATCCGCAGTTGAAGTTGTCGCAAGTCTTTCCAGCTAGCTGATTCTCCGTCAAAGCTTCTGTCGTATCATGTGCTAACAAAATGGTGATACTCAGCTGGCTGTTGATGCGCAGTCGATGGCTGCCGCCCCATCTCATGTGCCGCCGTTGATGTCTCAAGCCATGCCGCGGCAAGCAGTGGTACCCCTTAGCAGGTAGAAAGTTTGATGGCAAGCAACTTGCGTGCATGGCTGGGTTCAGAAGACAAGCAACATTTGCAGCATGATGCAAAAAAGACTAGCTAAATCTCAACAGTCAATATTCACAAACACCAGAAAGAACGGGTTGAATGAGACGAGCTTCGCTTACCGTGCCTCTGCAAGCTTGTCATTTCTGAAAACCAAACAACAACTTGGGAGTTAAATGGGGATGCTGTAACGTGAGGATGTCTGCTGATGATGAAGGCAAGCCTTAGGATTGTTACTCCAACAAAACAATATCTCAGCACCTATGTCCACTAGATTTGATCATGGCTGGCTGAGCGCAGCAAAGTCAAAACTGGCCTAGAGGAGAAAAACGATCATACCCTTCAGAAAAGCGGCACAAAGACAAGCGGATTTGATCAGCTTGATCAAGCGATGCATCATGTGAAACAATCCGAGAGTCCCTCACACTGAGCTTCCATCACAAGCACAGCTTCCGGTGATGTTTGATGTTGGTGTGACATGTCAGTGCCAGAGACCCCACTGGGAGGAAGCGTGAAACAACCCGTGTCTCACCTGTGGTTGTTACTCGCGCTGCATCTTGGCAGACCGAAGGCTATGCAACCTGGCCCCACTCAAGAACAACATGCAGTGCCCAACACTACAGCTTTGCCAACTTGAACAGGTGTGATTGCCTTGCCATCGTCCTTCTGGTGCCCAGTTGGAACGCAGAAACACCATCCTGCGTCAGAAAAACACAGGGCCCGAAGCAGAATTTGGGTGTTTTTTCTCAATGCCCAGAGTCAGCGCGCCAACAAGTAAAGTTTCCACTCCCAAACATGAGCATGCAAACACGTTCCGGCATACAAGAGGTACGCAAATGTGCAGGACCAATCTTGAAGCAAGTGCTGCTTGCTATTCTGCCACATAAGTCTGCATGGGCACAACCCAAATTGTGATGTTCAGACTTCAGTTTGGCGCTGGCTGGCTGGCTGTAACAAGCCATCACCTCATATTCGTCTCGGCCCTCGGGGCCCGGAAAACGATCAGATCCCTAGTTAGATCATTGGGATCTTCCCAAATCTCCGGATTCCGGCTTGCAAACCCCATGCTCAAGCTGCCCTGAAGAGAGCCCCGACCCTAGCCCCAGCCACCCCCCCAGACTCAGCCGTTTCACGCACTTGAGACAGGCAAGCTCATCTGTTGCCGTTGCAACTCAAGCCAGGCAAACAAATCCGCCAGCCCAAGCCAGCCCCAACTCACCCCCATGTCCCAGCTCCCAGATCAGACCCAACCCAGACAAGCCCCAGCAGGGTTGTTTCTTGATCCACCCAGTTTGGACGCTTTTTGTAGCCCAGCTCGCCATGTCAGAATGGGCATCTGAACTGCTCAGCGCAGCCCGCTGAACTAAGTGGGCATGACGTGTGCTAGGTGATCTGCCAGATTTCGCCAATTTTGCGTTTGTTGTGCATCTAGTGTTCTGGAATGCGCTGAGCATGTTCACAGTTGCAAGAATATAATGTTGGTGTACAGTGAACTGCGCGTCAGCATTTTCCCAAAGGCGCTTGTGCCACACACAAATATGCCAATATATCTGCTGTTTGACATGTGCGCGTGTCATGCATGTGACACACAAGCACGACAAAGAGCCATGATCCCCACACAAAGCAGCGCAAGAATTGCAACTCGCCAGTCCTCTCTCGGCGGGTTGCTCTCGCTGAGCACCTGACCAAAGCTGAAAACTGCAAAAATCTGAAGCAGCTGCCGCACTGAGGTCCGCGCTTGGTCCACATAATCGAAATACCACACACCTTTGCGTGTGTTTCACACGGTCGCCGCACATTGCAGTCGCCCAAGCTGCTGACAAAGCTTCTCGTAAGCAGCCTCACTCCCCAGCAAGTCCTTCGCAAAACAGCTAAGCGGTGCAGGACCTCACCGAACATCACAGGATTGTGAAAGGACCACGCCAGGCTTGGCAGCACCAATGGGTGCTTTTGCAAGAGGTCTAGGAGGGATCGAATGCCCAAAATGAGTAGAGACATGTAGAGACCGTGCTGTGACCCTGAGCTAAGGCGGGATGCTGGAGGGATACTGTGGCGGGTCCAGACTTCATTTGTTTTCTTGTTTTCTTTCGGTTTGTTTTGATTTTCACTCCCAGTACCAAACTGCTGCAATTTACGGCATGATCAAAAAATATGGCCTGATTTTGCACTGGCACTTTCCATATCTCCGGCATCGTTTTCAACGTCCTCGCATCACCAATTGGGTAAGGGTGGGTTCAAGGTTGGCCACGTTGGTCAGGGGTGGCGCCAGCAAGCTTGGAGGTGGGTTTGGGGTTGGTTTAGGCGGGTTCGGTTGGTTTTGGGTTTGTCTATCTGGTTGGTCTCGCTGCGCTTTAGTGCTGGTTTATGGTGGGCTTGCAGGTTGGTTTAGGGGTGTAGGGCTATTTAGGCGAGTTTGGAGCTAGGCTGCGGTTGTGTTTAGATGGGCTTGGGTGGCTTAGGGTTTGCTATGGGTTGGTTGGGGTGGGTTTAGAGCTCATTTAGGGTGGGGTTAGGTTGGGTTTAGTGATGATTTGGGGTGGGTGTAGAATTGGTTTGAACTTCCTTTAAGGTGGCTTACTGAGGGTTAGGGTTGGTGTGGGGTTTGCTTCGTGCCTGTTGTCTCGGGTTGGTTTAAGGTGGGCTTAGTAGTTGGCAACAGCGCTGCCAGGCGCCTGGTGTTTTCGCCATGACAACATGGGGCGGGAGGAGGAGGGGGGGGGGGGCGGGGGTGATACCAAAACCAAACTGGTCGGCTGCGTTCTGAGGACACTTGAGCGTGGGCAGTTTCTGAAATCGCTTGCTTCCTTGTTGGCCAGAGGCAGCGGCAGCTTTGTTCTTTGTTGGCTGCCATGGATGCGGAAGTGCTACTCGCTCTGATATTTGTTCTGAAGATTGCCAAGCGCCCGCCCCATGCGTTGCCTGCAGCTACGTATGTTTATGGACGAAGATATTCTGTATTTAGACAGCATGCACTCACTTCTAGCTGCTGCCTATGGGTCAGAGAGTACTCGAAAGAAGTGCACTGCAAGGTAACTGTGGAACTCAGTGTCTTGATGCTGAATGAAAAAAGCCTGAAAGGCTTTGTTCCAAAGCAGATTCGCAAGAAAGTCTATAAGAATGGCGAAGGTGTTGTGAATGACAGGCTACGTCTCGAGTGCATGCAACGGGCGTGGCGCAAGAGCTTGTCTAACCCAAGCTCGGGGTTGTGTTTGGGTTCATTGCAACATCTGTTGTGTCATGATGCTCACTTTTACTTCTCCTGGAAGTAGTTTTGGAAAATGATGAAATAGCCCCTGTGCATTGCGCGCGGCCGTGCTAGTGGGATTTGCAGCCACGCAGTCATTTCATACCAGGAGCCTCGTGGCGCTAGTAGTTTAGTGCTGGTTTAGGGTTCCTTTAGGGTTGGTGTAGGGTGGGTTTTGGGACTGGCTTCGGCTTAGGGTGGTTTTAGAGCGGGTGGGGGTGTAGGGTTGGTTTAAGGTAGGTTTAGAGTCGGTTTGGGAAGATCAATTGCTGGCTTAGATTGGCTTGTTTGGGGTCGTTAGGCGGGTTTAAATTTAAGCTTTCTTTGGGGTTGGCTTAGGTTTAGGTTTAGCGGTGGTTTAGTGGTGGTTTGGGGTTGGTTTAGGGTGAGTTTAAGGCCCGTTCAGGGGCGTGGGTTTGCCTTTTAAGATCATCACAAAGACGAACAACGGGCCTATAAAGAAGCGGGAGGGGTTGGGGGAGAGGTTGCAGCCCCCTCGCAGTATAAAACAAATAAAGAAAGTGCGTGATTGCAAACAAAGCCGAACAACGGCCCCACAGTAGGGGAGTTGCTTCTTCTTCTTCAAGAAATACAAATAAGGACACTACAAACAAGGTGCTCCAAGAAGCTGAGAAGCCAAAAAGCTAGAAAGTCAAAAGCTGGTGTTGTTGCGGGTGTGACTGGTGATGCAGAGAATGCGAAAAGCCAAAGCCACCAAAGCCGCCAAAAGCCACGACTCGCAAAAAAGAAAGCCGAAAAGCAAAAAGCCAGCCAGGAGCAAAACAACGAAAAACAAAGAAATGCAAAAAAGCCCTCTCGAGATGAGAACACTCTGTGTGGGCGAAACAGGTGAAGTTGGTGAGGGGAGGTCACGGCTCCATCAGAAATGCGTGGCAAAGGGCTCAAAAAGCAGGTAGGCGGTGTGCAAACAATTCAGTCCAAGGTAGGTGGCCAGTAAAAAGACTTTTGAGGTGTGACTTTTTGGTCAATGGCAAACATTCACGAATGCGCCCTGATCCCATGATCGAGGTTTTCAAGGTCCTGGTTGCGGGCCTTCATAAACAGCTTTGCAAAGAGCTTGCAGTCCTGAGCTCAGCATGCACAATGAGTCCCACAAGTTCAGCACAAGTTGACACCTGCCTTGGTTCTCGCAAAGGATTCCTGCCGCGAGGCAAAGTCCTCAGGCTCTTTCTACTTTCGATTCGACATTGCGTCTCGAACGGAGTCTCCTTGTCCAAAAGGCACTGGGACTTCAATACTTCTTCTGCCTCAGCATGCGATTTTGTTCAACTGTCCGTTCTCTTCTACTGCAACACAATCATCTCTGTCCTGCATGTCGGAGTATGAGGCATCAATGGCCTCTCCAACCTTCGTGGCATCCCAAAAACATCATGCGGATTCAATGTGCACACCCCACTACAAAGGCCTTCTTCAAGTGAGCTGAGCAGGTCTCAGGCACCAAATCAATGGCGCGATTTGTATGCAATCTGTAAACAGCTGGAGATCCGGGCTGACACGTAGACTTTGCGATCAGCCGCTGAAGGGCTGACCCCGTCATCAGCTAACCTGACAGCGCTCAATCTGACAATATTGATCAATCTCACAATATCTTAACAGCCAGAAACTGCCTCTGATTTCGGAGAATCGCATCCAATTTGTCCATGTCCGCATCCTGTAGCCCTTCAAGCTCGGCTGGTGCCTTGCTTGGAGCTGTTTCAGTTCGGCCACCCGGCCCAGGCTTTGAGGTGGACCAATGTGGCCACAAGTTCCAAAGCCACTGCAGCCAGTCATTGAAGCCGAACATCTTGCTTTCCGCATCAGAAGGTCCCTTGCTGCTTCTACTAGTTGCCTCACTGGCACCAGATTTGACTGCCTGGCCAGCTTCAGTACGTGAGGTCTTTGAATCCGACCTCTGGCTATCTGCCGCCTTCTTGCTCGCAGCGGCCGCCTCCTCGTCACTCATTCCACTTGCTTGACCGGCCTGATAAGCAGCTGCAGAGGCGGCTTTCTCCACCTGTGCAGGGCTCTTGCCTGCGGCTCGGGCATTCTTGGCTGCAGCAGCAGCAGCGGCGGCGGCAGCGACCTCAGCCGCTTCTTCTGGGCTCTTGCCCGCACGTAGAGCAGCTTCGTACGCAGCATCTGCGACTGCCTCTGGATCAAGAGGTTTGCCATTGGCAGTATCCGTGGTGCCTGATCCTGTTTCACTTGGATCAGAGGAGTCACGCCCGTCATCAGAGCTGCTTGCGCTAGTAGCTTGCTGAGACGGATCGTCGCTTGCGCCTTTCACGTCATGACTTCCTACCGTGGCAGAGTCAATGTTGCTGCTAGTCGCCGCTGTGTCACTCTCACTGCTGCCTCCGGCACTACCATTGCCGCCACCACTACTACTACCGCCACCTCTGCTTCCGTCACTGTTCTCGCCATTGTTGCCACCTCTGTTGCCTCCTCTGCTGCCCTTGTCGCTCCCACTGTCGCCTCTGCTATTGTCTCCGCTCTTGCCTTCACTTTTGCCTCCTCTGTTGCCACTACTGTCGTCACTTCCGCCAGTGTTGGTGTCGCCACTGCCGCTTCCTGCCCTGCTTTTGGGCACGAGGAGCGGTGTGACATGTGGGGCACGGTACGCATCGGACCACCAATCACGGAAATTGCGAAACCATGGCTTGGTACCAACTCCAAGCTTTGCTCCACTCTCTGATCTCTCATGAGGCGCCAAAGAAGGCTGGCTCCCTGCTGTTCTGGTCGTTCCTGCTGATGCCTGCCAAACTCAGGATTGGTCTGGAAAATCCTGCTGCAGGCACTCTCTCTACAGAAGCATGCTGGGCCCCTCATACGCGACAGCCACGCTTGTTGGCCACATCAGACTGCTCAAACATAGGCCTGTTCGTAGAAGTCCTTGCAAAGCGCCCTGAAGCCCTTGTCCTGCGCATGACAAGCTTCTGGAATTTCGCCGCTGTGGCAGTGGCCTTCTTGATGGCAGTGGCGAACTTGTCGGCGAAGCCTAGGCAAGCCTCGAACTTGGGACATGACACACATGCGAGGCGAAGCTGGCGATTTCTCATTCTTCTCTGAACTGATCTAACAAAATGTCTCTCGATGATCCGCCTGCACTTCGTCGAAGCCCGCGTCCACGGAATTCGGGAACTCGTTCTCCAGGCCTTGGGGTCGACCCGCGCACACTGATTTGAGCACGCGAGGAAAATCCAGCAAAACACCAAGATATGCAGCGGTAGTCTACAAATCACATACAAACACAAGTCATGTGAGATTTAACGCACAGCGAAAGCCCTGGCGTTTCCAGCGCCCCAAGCATCATGCGGCACTCGCCAACCAGCAGCTGCTTGACCTGCAACTTGAGCAACTTGAGCAACTTGAGCTGTTTGGCAGCAAACCGTGTGCCACCTGGATCTCCCCATAAGCATCTGCCAGAGTCTTGCTCACCTACAAGTAGACCAAGCGCATAGACTTCAAATAACGCAAAAAGAGGCAAAACACATGGCGAGCCTCTTGCAAGTGCTCCACGCAGTCTGGCTCAAACTTGATGTAAGGCATTGACCCCTGACATCCGAAGGGTACTGCCAATTCTCCGCCTTACAAGCGTGCTCAGAGCTTGCCTTCTCCTTGAGCAGAGCGGCAAAGGTGGAAGAAAAGGGCTTGATTTCCCTGGCAAGAGTGCGAAGTCCGCAGTTAGAGCAGCCAAGCATCCCCAGCCTGACAGCAGTTTCGCCCAGTGAAGCTTCTGCTGCATGGACAGTTTCTTCTGCTTCATGTTCGGCTTTCTCAGCCTATCATGAAGCACTCACCTTCATGAACCCTATTAACCTGACACAAGTGCCTCCTGCAGCTCTTCTTCATCCAATGGAGCGCCTGAGATTCTGAGCTTTTGGGCATTTGGCTGCCACTGTACTGTGTGTGTGTGTGTGTGTGTTGAGTGTGTCGGTATTCACAAGAAGCAGACCAGCGGTCGCAGCTATGCTGTCCGCCTAGGCAGCTTGTGCAGCGTCGGTGTAAGCCAATTCTGAAATCCCAACATCGCAGCAAATGGCCTGATGGACCAGTCTCGCAGTCGCTGTTCCCCAACATGCAGCAATCTTGGAAATGTGCAATGACAAGGCTGACAAGGAGCTCAGTTCAAGGATTCAAGGCAGAGACACATGTACCACCACAGAGTTTCAGAAAGATCCAAATGCACACTTGTCTGTGATACTTTTGCCGGAGCGCAGCTGCCGAGGTGAACAGCGTCTTCATTCTCAGCCCGGAGGCCTTCCAAATTTTGAGATGCGTCAGCCTGCAACAGCGCTCCGTTGACAAGGAGCAGTTGCCTGGCAGAACGCAGAGTTCGACCAGCCCCGGGCTATGGGACTTGAACCAAAAGTCGAGCCATGAGGTGCCGCAGGTGTGCGCTTCACAAACTCGGTGCTTGCCATCCAAAAGACACAGCCCATTTTTACGCGCAGCATGCCCAAAGCACATTGCTGCACCTTGTGAAACTGTGAAACATGTCGGAAAACAAAGTTACCTCGTTTTACTTCTTTCCTTTCTTCTTGGCGGCCTTTGCAGCCTGCAATGCATTGCCGAGACCAATCTGGAATACATCCGTATTGCATACATCGGCAAGAACTCAAAGACTCGACGATTTAAGCTCCTTTGCTGCACCCAACATTAAATGTCTGAAAGGATCTCTTTATGTGCAGCTATGCACTAGCGGTAGCAATCTTGCGGTCATTTTGGGAAAGCATGCGCCTTCAATCCCAGCTCTGCTTCCACTTGCTTCTTTTCCACCAGGAGACGCTCGATTTTATCGAGCCTTTCGCACTGATTGCAAGCAAGCATCCCCAAGCCTACGCTTCAGAGTGACTTCAGAATGATACCGTGTGCACAAACGGTTGAAATTATATCAGCAACAAGGAACAAACCATGACCCCTGAAGCTCATCCACGCTAGCTAAGGCTGCGGCTGCTCCAGAGCCGTCATCATGAGCACTTCAGAAATCTGCAATCAGCAACGCACAAACTAAATCCAACAGTGGTCATCATTGTGTCTCTCACCACTATGCTTCTCATTCCCACTATTGCAGTGGCGCTTCAATCTGCGCCTGGTCCCGCTCAGCGTTTTCCATGACTCTTTTGAAATCCTGGCCAGGCCAACAGAGTGCCCAGAAAGGCACTGAGGCGCGCGAGCCTCGTGGAACTCCTCAAACTGCTCCGTGTCTTGTGACCAGTCTGGCATTTCTTCCTACAAACGCAAATTCCGCTGAGCCAAAAAGAACAAACAAATCGCAGGCGTTCTCTTTTTGAGCTTTGGACCCGCCCCTCGGCTTCTTTGAAGGAGTCGACTTCACACAGCACTGCCTTTCGAGATGGCAAGAAGTGGTTCGAGTTCTAACACCTGCAAACCCACAGAGACTAGCAAACCCCACCCTGGCATTCTGGCTTCAACCGCTGTCGCCAGAACACGGGAAAGCCGACGAATGCCAAGTTGCGGTTGCCGCAATGCGCTTTTGCACTTCACTTTCACTGCTCAGCTTCGCTATCAACCTACAGCTGCGAGAAGCTGTGAATTATCATTGCAAAGTGAGCTGCAAAAACTGCGCCCCTGGCTTGGAAGCTTGCACGATGAGATCTTCGTTTGCATTCTCAGCTTTTGCTGCCGTGAGCAACTCCTTTTAGGCACACTTACCAATTCTCACAAGTCTTGCCAGGGAGTGATTGGTCAATGGCAGTCCTGCAGCATGCTGATGTGAGCCACGGTCGTTTTTTGCTGACCCAAAACAGTTCGCATCAGCGAAGCCTGACACTGTCATAGTTGTCAGGCAGCTATGGCTATGAACAAGCTGATGTTCAAAGCTAGTGCGACAGGTCATGCCTCTGCCAGCAATTTCCGCCTCAGAGTCTTTGCAGCTTGAACCTCGTGAACGTAGTCGCAGGGACAATGCAGGGCACATCCAAAGTTGCTTGCGCGAACAGGGTCGGCTTTCTTGGCCACGGCATCATCAATTGCCTCATTGCAGAGCTGCAAGCCTTCTCAAGAACTTGCCAAATCTCAGAAGCCGGCCTTACTTAAGGCTTCATGCACGGCGTCGAATTCGTCCAAATTTGTGATGGTCTTAGTGCGTCAAGGCTGTAGATAGTTTTTGATCCGCATCCAGCAACTGCTGGATCAAGCACAGCTTCTTCATTATTCAATCAAGAGCACACTCACTATGCTTGAGAGAAGCAATTGCAGCAGTAGACTTCAATGCTGGAGGCAAGGAAAGGCTGATTGATGCTCTAGGAAAGGTCCAAACAACGGGGATCTGCCCGGCAAGGCGTTTTCCAATGGTCGAAACGCTGTGCTAAAAGTTCTTTCCCCGCCAAAGACTGGACCTGCAAGTATGCTGGCGTTGCCTTCACACTACGTATCCCTCAGTTGACTTGAGATCCACACGACATAGACCGTTCAGAACCGTGTTTGTATGCGGGCAGGCAGCCATTGTGGCTGCCACCAGCATTCAGCTGCTTTCCACCAGAAACGTTTAGCCGCATGCTTGACGAACTGAGGCCCCTGCGAGAACTTGCATAGCCTTTCCCAGCTGTATCTCTGACTCGAGCTTTTCCTGCCGCAAGCAAATATCGAAAAGTGAAAGCTTGTTCCCAGTGCCTTCAGCTGATTGCATTGATGGACCAGTTTGCAGTCGACCGGCTTGTCCTTCCATAAATAGGAAAAGCAAACCGGTACCATAGACAGCCTCAGCTCCAGGCAGCAGCAGCTTCCAGTGCTGCTGTGACAGTCTCCAACTGGTTCAAGTGCATGGCCTGGGTCGAAGGCTGCGCATGTTACATCAGCATTTGCACTGAGGAAGCTGCTTGATGCAGCTGATGCTCTAAGTCTTGAATCGTAGCCCGGACCTTCAAGAAGCGAAAGGAACTGTTACCATGGTAACTGGTGGAGCAGCTTGTCATCTGCAAACAGGACTTTTCATAGGTGTCTTTTTTGTGTGGACGCTTGCTTCTTGACAAACGAATTGCTGCTGAAGTGAGTAAGCCCCATCCCAAGTGAACGGCATCCGCCGAATGCTACAGGGCAGCCAACGATTATCTGATATGCAATGATTCCAATGCTGAGGCAATGCTAATCATGCTTGGTTGCCAGTTGCGCGCTTTGCAAGTAAGTCCCAATACCTTGCTGCATCGCCTTGGCAGTTGGGATACGTACTACCAATGCTTCTCGAAGTGTGGCCCTGGTCAAGGTTGGCGCAGCGCAATCCTACTTAGCTACATCCTATGCTGCCGTGCGGTCCATATTATCATATTGCTGTTGATTGCCGCTTTGCTTTCTGCAGGCTTGCAGTTTTATCTTTCTGTGGTTGTGCGACCTTGTCAAACGTTGCACCAACGAGTTATTCAGCTGGAAAGCTGCAGGCTTGATTGCGCAAAGAATCATGTGTGGACCACATTACGCAGATTTAGGGCTATGCAGGTTTTAGTGTTTGATTCCATTTGCCAAGGTGCCATGTTGGTACATGTCTTGAGCCACAGCCAAATATGCTGCACATATTAAGAGTAAAACCCAGTATCAATTGCCTACAGTGGGAAAACTGGCGATGTTTTTCATACCTCCATGATGCCTTGCTCGTATGGCACAGCTTGACCCACCTCGTTGCACCAGGTCACTGGCTTCTCCTTCGTCACTGGGCCATCAAACAGCGAGCATATGAAAGCGACTGTCCTTCTCAGAGGCCTCTGGGTGCTCATAGACCTCATGCCGGCCACTGGCATGGCGCAAGGTCGGTCAAGTGCCAGCATTGCAGCTGTCTGGGCGCTGCGCAAAGGTCTGCGTGACCTCCTTTTCGCAAAACACGTCGAGGGACCTAAGGCAGTGCGCACCCGCACGGTCATCACGAACCCAGGTCATGACGCGTCCTTCCACTCTGTCGTAGCAATCCGTCTCTCCAATTATTCAATACAGCCGGTTCTTCCACTCCGTGCACACAAGTCGGCATAAGAAGGTCTGGCAGGCAGTAACTCGGCATCCAGCCAGGAGCAGAGATATCTCAGCACAGTTGACGAGAACTGCTTGCCGGAAGCCTGCCAACGCGCATCGTACACACAAGGCCTTGGGTCGCATGACCTCACATGGCTTGCAGCATGAGACCACAGACATAATATGAACAAGCGCGCACGCGCACACGCACATATAACATGTATATATATATATATGTATATGGTAACCCCCCCAAAAAAAACCCTAGGTTTTGTGTGGGGGGGGGATAGCATATACATATATATATATATATATATACATGAACACACGGCGCGAGCGGAAGGCGTTCAGCGGTGCCTTGCAGGCTGTGGCATTCATTGCATTCTGCAGCAGCTGCTGGACCTGGAATTCAGTTCGGGTCTGCCCAGCTCAATGCCCCCTACCCTTGACTTTCTCTTCTTCTTCTTCTTCTTCTTCTTCTTCTTCTTCTTCTTCTTGCTGCAACTTCTCTAGTTCTCCCGGCCTCTGGATCTGTGCATAAAGCAAAGGGCGTGTGTCCTCTGTCGTTCTTTGCAAGGACGTCGCAGCCCTGCACAAGAGTATCAACGACCCGTCTCATGGTGCCTAAACATACACTTGAGACCTTAATCACAATGTAGCAATACACACTCTGGCAGACAAGCTCCCAGCCTGTGCCATGAGGCACTTCGCACACCTTATCACCAGCGGCCAGCAAACACCAGCTAAAGGTGACTGCAAGCATCTCTCGCCCATCGGTGTGTCTGCCCCACTTCATTGGCACGCCCCATTTACCCTTTTGCAACATCTTGGAACTTATAACAGCACAACAATTCCACCTTGCCCACTATTTCTATACAATCACTGTTATGAAATCATGTTGGGTTGGTAGAGAAATCACGGATCGGGGGGCATTTGTTGATAGTATTGCGACATGTTGCAAGGGCCGATGAAGTGGGGCAAACACATTGACAGGCTTTTTCTCCGGCTGGGTACTGCACTCCAAGTTCCCCCCAGCAGCTGCCTGGTGTAGCGGGGTGTTGCCTATGGCATCCTGGCTCAAATAGCTGAGCTTAGACATCCACAACGCGGAATGCGGGCAAAGCCTGTTGCCTGAAGCTCCCTGACATGTCAAGCGCAACTCCCTTCGGAGTCCCGCTCGTGGTGCGACAGGTTCTGTGGCGGTGCCATCAGCAACCACAGCACCTTGCGAAAGAGTTGCTGGAAGAATGGCAGGCGGCAGTCTTTTGCAACGTCTGTAACAACCGCCTCAATGAAACAGCTCAGACTGCGCAGTTTGGTTCATTAGCTGCCAACTGCACGAGTTCGCGTGAAGTGAAACTCTTTGTCCACTGCAACGGGCGCTGGGCATTGCACAGCTCCCGAAGGGTTTGTAGATTGCAAATTCGCTGTGCTCGATTGATGGCAGGCGTGACAGCTTCCTTGTGTTGCTTGATGGTTTTCAGTGGAACACGGAAGCGGCCAGAGGTTCGCATTGTTGGCGGATGTGTCCTAATTTGAATCAAACGCATGTAGCAGCATCAAGTAGCCATGCAGTGTTCTCAATGATGCGTTGGGAATTGTATGCTGGCACTAGAGGCCGCAGGGAAGAGCTGTGAGAAGACAAGCCTCAATTTTCGTGGTGAGACGTCTGCGCATCAGGTGCCAGGAACTCCCAGCCGGCTTGATGCTGCCTTCTCTAGGCACCAGGACAAGAGTCAAAAGGCAAAGTCACTGGGGAGCAAGCCATCGCTGCCAACGAAGACCCCTTGCTACGCCCTGAATGTGCGTGTGGCGGTGGGGGCACGGAGCCCTCTCGCCTTGGATAGAAGCCAAACTGAGCCACATGAAATATGCCAGGCCAGATTCCATATGCAAACATGGGCCGCTTGAAAAAATCCCACCCTCCCCGATTTTGCTTGGCAGCGGAGGAGGAGCTGGAGGCCTTGGGGCCAGCATGCTGCCTGGTGCCAACTGGCACCAGGTGGCACCAGTGTGGCGCCAGTGTGGCGCCAGGCGCCAATGCAAGACGTTCACGCAACTCAGAAGCCCGCGGGGCAGGGCTCGGCGAGCGGTCGGAGCGGCCCTTGGTCAGCTCTCACAGAGACACGCGAGCACCCTGTCTGGTCTCAATAGCAATTGAGTGCCACACGGCATAGGAGCCAAAATGGGCTGTCCTACTTGGACCATCACGGCCAATGAACAAAGATGATGCGTGCACCTCTCATGCTCTTCTTCTCCAAATCGTGCTGTTTCATCCCAGGCATCAGCACCTGCTTCTGCAGTCCAACTCATTCCACTCGCATATGCACACTGGTGGCATTAGATTCAGAGGAAAATGAGGCATTCACCCCGATGTCGAGGATGTGAGGTTGACCTCTGGCGAGCACTCGTGGACCTAAGCTGTGCAAGCGCTGGCTCTGCGTCCTTTCTGTCTCCCCTCTCGATATTTCCTGAGGGCTGAGCGACTTGGAAGCTCCCCGCACTGGGGGCGGCGTAGCAACTCGAGAACTTGATCTTGAATTGCCTCAGAATATATTGCCCTTTTGACCGGATTCTTCACAGGATTTCTACATTGAGAGGCTTGCCTTGTACTGGCGTACAGGAAGGCGAGACATTGCGACTAGTTCCTGAGCTCCAAGAGTAGTGGAGCAAGCACATGAGGCAGTCATGAGGCACATGCTGGTCTTGTGCACAGGCGGCAGGAGGTCTCCACTAGCTGTAGCCTGCACCCATTGAGGGAATGTCTCTGGTGGCGTTAAGATCGGTTGCGGCGAGTTGCACCTGCACTTCTGGAAGAAGCTCTTCTTGCAATGCGAGCCTGAGGAACAGGGCAGTTGGAGCACAAAGGAACAAAGGCCTGGAATCATTGCTGCTGGGTGACAATTCCGAGCAGCCTGGCAACACCTTCACAAGGATGTACGAGAGGCTGGTGTACGTGGCAGAAGAGAAAACCTCCAGCCTGAAGCGCAGACTCCAGCGTACGTTGAGCCTCAAGATTTCCATGGTTGGAGCTAGAGTTTAGAATATGTTGAGCTCACTAAGCTCACCACAGCAATGGGATTCCCCTCCTTCCACAAAGCTTTCACCAGCAAAAACCAACCTCAGCGACAAGACGACGGTTTGCAAATAGCTCTACGGGACCATTGGCTAATTCAATGGTGGACAGTGAGTCTGTGACCCTTCATGAAGTCTGACTTCATGTTGATGACCGCCGTGGCATCCTGGGCATTGAACCAATCACCAGGCTTGACTCAAAGGCAACTTGGTATCAGGCCTCCTTGCATTTGCTCCAATCCTGAAAGCTCGACTGTCCGCATTGCATACCCTTTACAGGAGTGAGTTACACACACACACACACACACATCAGGCAATCCTTCACTGCACTGTAGCAAAGCGCTCGATTGCTGCGAATGCGGTGGTCCTGCAAAAGGTCATGATGCTACTGTTCAACTCTGACAAGGACAAATCGAGTAAGAAATATTGACATGCTTTGAGCGCAACGGCACTCAGTTCACGCTGCAGGCTGTCCATCGGAGCCAAGTCAATGCCCTCCGAGTACTTGTCAATGGCCGCCTGTCTCTGCTTGCTTTGCGAATACAGCAAACTAATACTCGATTGTTGCGCCACAAACGTGAAAACGCAGAAGGCCACCTGATACCTGGCCAGCGCCGCCGTAGCAGCAGAGAGACCTGAACGCCAAGTGAAAGTTGTGTGAATGCACTTCCCGGATGCATGTGCGAAATCGCACGTGCATGGATCAAGGTCGGCACTGTCAGGGCCAGAGGCCTTGGCCAAAGCCTCGCAAAGCAATGAACAAAGCCAACAAAGCCAACATCTTCGAGCAAATCCCAGGCCTGAGCTTCTTTGTAGAGCTCATTACCCTCTCTGCGCCGAGCCTGGCGCCAGGCATGCGATTGTGCCCGAGTGAGCTTCCCAAGCTGCCTCTGCAACTTCTGCAGTCAACTGCTCATTCCTGTCACAAATCGCGTGGACTTCAAGCCCATGCAAACTTTTGTTTTGAAAGTGGAGTAGCTCGCAGATCGGAACACAAATGCAGCGCATGCAGGTCTTGCAGGTGTGTGTGTGTGTGCAAAGCTGTGGACCTCTAGCCTTTTTGTGTGAAACAGCGGTCGGCTGTCCTCTCTCTTTCCCACACAGCGTCATATGCTTGGCGCTTCTCTGTGTCCTCTGCAGCATTGCCAACTTGGCTCGAACGCACCCCCAATGCCCCCGAGCAGCCTGCAGAACAGACCAGGCATCAAGAACAGCTTGAGTGACCTGATCAAGAGCGAGGTCAAGATCAAGAATGCAGTAGTCAGCAATGCCTCTCCTTCACAGCACATCCCGCAGGGAAAGCTCCAAAATCCAAGCGGCTCGTGCACCTGTCTCTCCGCGACTTTCTGGTCTTTTGTCGGGATGAAATTCCCGCAGCTTCTCGTGATAGGCCTGGCAATTTCTATTTATACGTATATATATATATATGCATGTACAGATGATGTTAAAGTGAAACTGACTGTGTAAACACCTGATGACCAAAATGTGTCAAACCTGTGATGCGACAGCGCGGCACTTGTTGATGTCTGGCGAGGGCTGTAGTCTATCTGTAGACCTGTACGCTCAAGGCCTTGATGTACAACGGGCAGTGTCATGCGCAAGATGGATGTATGTTAACACCCCCTCTTGGAAGCATCGATGTACAAAGTAAAAAAGACAGCAGAGCTGATAACAGACTTGTACATCACTTCGCCCCGTTAGAACAAAACTGTATTGGATTGATGTAGTCCCTACAGCAAGCCAAACAGTTTTGTTCTAACGGGGCGAAGTGATGTAAAAGTCTGTTATCAGCTCTGCTGGCTGTTTCACCATTGTACCAAAATTCCGGTGCGCCAAGATGGCGTGTAGCTAGTTGTCATCCAGAGAGCGCTTCGATAGCCCTGTTGTTGAGACACGATAGTTGTACCATCGATGTCCTGAAGCTTCGCGCTGTATCCAGCAACCAGGGTTGTACCGCTTCCTGTGAGCCGTATTCCATGCTCCACGATGCACACTCTTGTCCTGAGTGGCTCAGAGATGGATTGTACCGCGGCATAGCTGTAGTGATGTAGAGCCATGGTGAGTGAGGCCCGCGTGAAGCCTGTCCAGAGGATCCAAATTGTTGAGCACTGTCTCGATGAGGATGACGACGTGTTGCAAAATTGCAAAGTTGCGCGGGAGGTTGTAGCGCTGGTAGAAAATTTGTAATGCGGCCCTGTACCTTAACGATTGTACCAGAGGCCTTCTCGACGGTCGACAAGGTCCATGTGCAAGTGTGATGTAGCCCCTGTTGAACAATATGCTTCTGGTAAACCTCCTGGAAAAGCTCGTCCGTCTGGCGGGTTCACCTTGAAGATGTAAAAGGTTGTCATGTCCAGTGCGCTGTCAAGACCTTCATGTGTCAACCAGCTGATGTAGCCGACGCAACGCATGAGGCTGTAAAGCATTCCAATGAATCCCAGTGTTGGGAGACCTCATGTAGCCCGGAATCTTCTGTGTCGCTCTTGGCTGCGATGTAGATGGCTGCAGCATGTATCAAAACATTGTCTGAAACACGCACAAACTGTCATGCAGAAAATGTCCCAAATGTAGAGGGTTGTAAAGCGCGAGAGGGTCGATCCATGGCAATGTATCTACCCTAAAAGATTGTAACTGTGCTGGCTGTTATGTGTGAACTGTGCACCTGTTGTTTAACAACCTGTGCTGACTACTGTACTCACTGGTGTGAAGCTGTTGCGGTGTGGCCCCACAGGCCAACATTGTACAGGTGTTTGTTGAGTGCTTGGTAAGAAGGTCGGCTGGGATTGTCTTCTGACTGTGCCTTGTGCATTGTAATGATTTTGCTCTTGACAAGCTGTTGTATGAAGAGGAGTCTTCAGCTCGATGTGCTTTGCTTTCTTTGATGTACCTTCTCTCATTGCTATTGATTTTGCTGCGCTGCTGTCTGTGTGTGTCCTGATGTTGGTGCGTACTTCAAACGCTTCCTTGATGAAGTTGCAAATGTAGAGGCTCTCCTGCGCTGCTGTACCAATTGCGTACAGTTCTGATTGGGCTGATGAAAGTGCTATTGATGATTGTGTTCTGCTGCCATAGTGTACTGCTGCTCCAAAGAAGTACAGTACAAATCCTGTTGCGCTTTTCCTTGTTGTCTCGCATGATGCCCAGTTGGC